TTAACACGAATCGGAGACAGGGAACCACAGAAGCCTGTTCTGCTTCTATCGAAAACCCTAACAATGGCGGAGTCGAGGCGATCTAATAGAGAGAAAAGGCTTCGAGAAATAAGGAGGGAGATAGTGGAGCCCGTCTACCAGAAGAAAGATGAAGCCAAGCTTGCTGCCCAAGAAGCTGCCTTGGCCGCCTCAAAGCTTCTCGTTCGTGTCCCTGCTTCCACTTCTATGGAAGTAGTAACACTCTCCATTAACGGTGCAACCTCAACAGCTCCGACCAACAATATGGATTTTTCTCTTCATTCCAGTAATATTTATATCCTTTTATTATGCATTGTCATTAACTGAGTTTTCTTGATAAAATCTTAACAAACACAATATATGGATTGCATAAACAAAAAAAGGGAAACTTAAAAATGCAAGGAATTGCTAATGAAAACGAAGCAAAGTCATAAAGGGCACTCAATTCAAAGGTGCCTTATTTAGGAAACAAGCAGCCTGCCTAAATACTATTACTGTTTTCTACTACCTTCAATTACTTGGCTCCTCAAGCCTCCTTTTGGAGCGAGCCACCTTCAGTGCAATCCAGAGTAGTATCTTCTCATTCATTTGGTTGACATATCCAAAAAACACATGCCTCCATGACTTCTTTAATGCTAAGCTGCCACAAACACCCCAAAAACCAACAAGAAATCCAGTGATGATGCTAACAGCTAACCATATTTTGTCGTAGTCTCTGTAGTCATCATCATCATGGTTCTTGTTGGGTGGTAGAGATCCAATGGAAGTAGAATCTCCAGGACACTTACCTGGGAGAGGAAAGCCACATAGCAGGTGATTGCCCTCATAGATGGATGGATCATTTAGTGTCTCGAGCTGATTTCCGGAGGGAATTTTTCCTGTCAAGTTATTGTAAGACAAGTTCAAATAACTCAAGGAAGTCAAATTAGATAGACTTTGAGGGATTTGACCCGAAAGTTGATTGTGAGATAAGTCAAGTGACTCTAGCCATCGCAAATTGCCTATCTTGTTGGGGATGCTTCCATTGAGATGATTCATGGACAAATTTAGGATGGTCAATGCAGGTATTGTAGTTATCTCTTCTGGAATTCTCCCTGTAAGATTGTTCCTTGAAAGATCAATGTTGTTCACATATTCAAGATTCTTACCCCCATAGTCGAGTTTTGTGCCTTTGGTGATTACGGTGGCATGCTCGCTGAACTGGCTGAAGATATTGTTGTTGGAGAAGAATGGACAAGGATCCCTAGTGACCAACGTTGTCAAGTTATTAACACAGTTGGGAATAACCCCAGAAAAACTGTTGTTTGAAAGATCTAAAATGTGAACACATTTCATAATGCACAATTCTGGGGGAATTTTCCCAGTTAATGAGTTGGACCCCGCACGTAGGATGCTTAGGTTTTCTCCAATGAGCGAAGGTAGTTCTCCTGATAATCTATTTCCCCCAACATCAAGGCTCCATAAACTAGAACAATTTTGCAAGCAAGCAGGAATTTTCCCATGAAAATTGTTCTTACTCAAGAGCAAGAACTGGAGACTTGTTAAGAAGCATATAGACCTTGGGATTTTACCAGATATGCTATTGTTAGCTACATCCAGAACATTAATTCTTTGACTTTGGTTCCAACAATTAGGAAGTTCTCCAGAAAGCCTGTTGCTCCCCAGGGAAAGAATTTCTAGACCCTTTATTTTGCACAGGGATGATGGGATGGTACCCTGTAGACGATTCCATGAAATATCTAACTCCATCAATTCAGGCATAAGCTCATCAATGTTTCCAGGTATAGGTCCGGACAATAGATTATCATGAAGATATAACGTATCTACCTCAGTGGACCAAAATGGGATTGGACCTTCAAACAAATTCGAACTCAAATCAATGAAGTGAAGATTTTGAGATGCCAGTGTTCTCGGTAACCTTCCCTTGATCTTGTTTTTGGATAGATTCAATCGCTCAATTCGAGTGGAGATCCTAGAGAACCAAGTCTCTGGTATGGTGTCAGAAATTCCAGCATTCCTCAAAAGGACATAAGTAAGTTTACTTTGTGACTTAAGCCATGCAGGAAACTTGCTCATCAAACAGTTTTCGATGTGAATCTCCTTAAGCATGAATGGTGGAACCCAGTCATAACTTACATTAAAAACTAGAGAACTGGGAAAAGCTACTGTAAGGATGATATTTTCTAGGCTTGTAAGATTGATCAAGTGGGCTTCGGTGAAAACACCATTCCACAAATTATATTTATAATGATTAGGTTCAAAACCATTATAGGGGCTATAGGTAAAATGAGCTCCAAACCACGGTTTAAATGTAGGATCAAGATGAAATGTAGAAAGAGGATCCAAAGGAAAGTTGAGTCTTACCTGAACTAGCTCTAAGAGTTGGCCAAAACTTTCAGGAATTGTCCCGTTCATGATATTGTCAGAAAGATCCAGCATCCTCAGCGATGACAAGTTTCCTATGGATTCTGGAATAGAACCTGAAAAAGAGTTTGAGGAGAGATCAAGATGTTGCAAGTATCTGAGTGTTGCCAATGAATTTGGTAAAGATCCGGCCAGGCTGTTGTTGGAGACATCAAAATATTGTAGATTCTTAAGTTCACTTAAGGAATTTGGCAAAGATCCTACAAATTTGTTGTATGACAATTGTAGCCACATTAAGCTAGTATTTGAACAGCCTTGAAAATCACCCAACAAATATTTGATCTCACCATGAAATTTGTTGTATGAAAGGTCCAGAATTTGTAAGTTACAGAGGTTCCCTGGCTGTTTGTGAATGAGACCAACACCATTGAATGCATTCAAATGCAGATTAAGATGTTGAAGCTTGGTAAGGTTGTATAACCAATTTGGCAAGGTGGAGTTGAAATTATTGGCTGACATGTCGATTGTCAAAAGAGAAGTAAAGTTGAGGAAGGGAAGTGTGAGAGGAAGGTGAGCAAGTTGACAACCAGACAAATACAACTCCAACAAAGAAGGAAATTTATTGATTGCTTGAATCCAACGTTCTCCTGTGGCATTGAGATTCACCCCTCCAAGATTTAGGTGTCTCAAAGAAGAGAGACCTGCCAACCAGTGCAGATCTCTAACATGTATATCTTCCTCAAATTGTGCAACATCAAGATACTGCAAGCTTGACAGGTTTCCAAGAGATGGTGGAATCTGTCCACCAAAGGATGCAAAGGAGAGATTAAGATACTCCAAATTATGAAGCATGCCAAAGAAGTTGGGAATCTGAATCCCCCCAAAATCATTATGACTCATATCCAAGTAACTGAGATGCTTCAAATATTGAAGGGAAGGAGTTATGGTGCCACCTAGAGAATGTATTTGGAGGATTAAAGGGTCATCGCTTTCTGCATATGGATTTCTAAGGTTGAGGATGATGACATGACTAGTTTGGTTGTCACAACCGACACCTGCCCATTTGCAACAGTCTTGCCCTATCCAGGAAGAAAGCCTATTAGAGTCATCAGTAAGACCTTCCTTGAATGCAAGAAGCGCTCCTCTTTCTATGCCCCAGCATCTGCCTTCCACCAAATCAAGTCCAATGCTATTTAGGCATGACCACAACAAAAGAAGCAGAAAGCCAACAAAGCTATGCTTATGATGACCCATGCATGTAGCTGTTTTTTTGGTTAAAGGAATCATCTAAACTGGTCATTATACGCAAGCAAAGATGCCTTCTCTAGGAAGACTTCTAATAGGGAAGTCTTCCAAATTCCATCGTCCAAAACACGGTTAATAGTGAGAACTTGACTAATCCCAATGAACGACCAGGAATGGGTGAAATTGCTGGATAGACTCATGCATGGACTCGTCACGGGGTTCACGATTAAATTATTGGGTTCAATTTCCTTAGCCCGTCGGCCACTCCACCTTTATTTGTCCCAATTATTTCCTTTTTCACATGAACCATGCCTATATGGACTTGACCAAAGACTTCACAAAAGAAACTGAATTCATCCTCTAATTCACAAAATATCATTTTAAAAAATATATATAGAGATTTAATTAACATTAAATTTTAAAAAATTACAACTGAATTTACATTATAGTTTAAAGAGAGAAACACTATTTACAACACTAGTAATATACCTAAATTATACTCATAACTTATATAAACAACTAAACAACGAAGACTTAAAGAGTAGAAGCCGCAAGCTCAATTAGTTATATAAACAACTAAACAACGAAGACTTAAGAGTAGAAACTGCAAGCTCAATTGATGTTTGAGCCATCTAATTCTCAAAATATCATGGTTTTTAATATAAAATCTGATGAAATGTCTTTAATATAACATCAATCAGTTATTAAGAAGTTAATTAAAAATTATTTTAGTACAGTTCAAGAAAAAGGCCTTATAATTTGGAGGACGGAATTAATATGACTTTTCTCATTTTCCATTACCGTTTCGAGAATTTGATAGGGGCTTGCCAACTAGGAAATTTACAAGAAAATTAAGGCCCCGTCGGTTGTGGAACGGAATTAATACGTTTTCTGCATGAGCCATTTTTCTCTACCGTTTGGAGAATTTGGAAATGGAAGAAGGTGGATTTTATTGAAATGGAACCCCACACTTTTGTTCAACTTGCAAACCAACACGGATTCAAATCTGCCCCAACAACAATTTTATCATTTTGCCAGCTTTCATCGGAATATGAATGGACTTGTATGATGTATTAAATTTTAGCTATTAATTAGTTGCGCTTAATGGGCGGAGCTAATTAAGGGGGGCATGACTGCATGAGGGGGCACAGGCCCCCTAAACTTTTAAGAAATAAAAATTTTGGTCAATTAAATTATATTTTTATTATTTCAATCCTTCTTTATTTTATACATGTTAATTATTTTTTAACCCTTGTTTTCTTCAAAGATTAGTTTTAGTGATTATGAGAAATTTCAGGGCAATAAGATGAGAAAGATGAGGAAAATAAAGATAAGATGAACTATGATAAAAAACAAAGATTAATTAAAGGTAAAATTGTTCAATATCATTTTATAAAAGAGTTGTTTATTAATATTTTTTTATTAATATTCTTTTACTTTTATTTTTTATTTAATATATATTTATTTTATCATTCAGTTGATGGTATATGTATAAAAATATGCCATCAACTAATATTAATTTATTATTAAAAACCAACAAATCTTATTTTAAAATAATTTTTAATTGATTTTTCCAGTCAGTTGATGGTATATGTATAAAAATATGCCATCAAATAATATTAATTTATTATTAAAAACCAACAAATCTTATTTTAAAATAATTTTTTAATTGATTTTTCAAGTACTGCAGGGATGCCCTTTTTTTTTTTTGTGTGTGTGTGTGCAAATTTCGTTTTGGCCCCCTTAAAATAAAATTTTGGCTCTGCTCAGAAGGGGGTGATGGTTTGGGCTTTCCCTATAAAGAGCAATCAAAGAAGAATCCAAGGAAGTCGAGGTATTTGTGTCTTTGGATTGTTTGAAAAGTAATTTTTAAGAGTTTTAGAGATATAATCAATTATAAGAAGTTATAAAGTTTGTTTAATTTATATTTTTAGAATATATGTTAAAGGTATATTACATATTTTTTTATTATAAATATGTATTAATAAAATTAAAAATTAATTTTTAATTTATTAACTATTTATTTAAATTTATCTTATACTAAAATTAGTATTAATTTTTATATTTTTTATATACATTTATAATAAAAAATATTCTTAACTTATGCTATAAACACATATTAAAAAAACCTTAAGTTATAAATTAAGGTTTATTTATTTTGTATTCTTATGACACATGATAAGAAATAATAATTATATAATTATTATAGTATTTTTATAGTAAAAATAATAAAATTAAATTTTATTTTAATTATAAATGTTACCTATTAATTTTTTATTAGTTCATTTTGAAATTAAAATCAAAATTTATTTTTTAATTTAAAATTTTATATTTTTTTAAAAAATTGATAATTATTACTTAATAATTAA